TAGGGACACATACTTGTTGGATCACTGTGTGTTGAACACTGCTTTCTATCCAGAGTTCAATGAGTGAACTGTTCCCAAGATTTTCTTTCTTCAGTTAAAACAAGAGTGGTGTGACACTTTGTAACACTGAGTTTCATGGCTAAATCATAAATTCGGTTACCTTTTTAATCCCACAGTGTGCATATGCTTTACTATATTTCTTACAACTACATTAATATAATGTTGGATTAATATGCAAAGTTGCATTTTAGATGGTTATAAAGATGTAATAACTTATTTCCGTGTTGCAAAATCCCACCTTGGCCTTGGGTCGCTGCCTCCATTACTCCATTCATTTGTGAGTGCACTGTATTGAATCTGCAAAAACAACAAAAAATTATTGTTATCATACATTTCTCCGAAATAAACTGAACTAATCGGTAACACAGAGGTTCGTACTCATTTCTCACGATCAGGAAACGATACGCTTTTAAATAGAGAAATTTGTAATAATGTTATTTAATGTGTATTATTTTTTTATTCATATGATTAAAAGTGATTTCTCCAATATGCGCGTTGGCACTGATAGAAAAGTGAAACGTGATGATTCCAAGTGGTGGAATTTAAATGCGCCTCGACATAATGGTTTATGTTCATTACACCGCCCCTTAAACGTTTACGCTACATGGTGAGACATAGGCTATTGCTTGTGACGGCTTCAAATCTCAAATAACACTGCGGAGGGCTTCAACTAGCACAACTAAAGCGTCGACAACAGGAGTCTCCGTCGAGCAAATTCTGCCCAGCTGGAATTTCGGCGTATTAACACTGTCCTTATTCCGCAACAAAAGTATCGCGGACGCACCGCAGCGACCATTTTCTCGCTCGGCCCGCTCGGTAATGGAGGATTTTCTGTCGGGAGCGGAGGTTGGGGAGGATCCACGGAAGGAGGAAGCGAATGGACGTGGACGGACAGGCAGCTGTAGGCGACCAGCTGACCACGGACTGGGGGGATCTGCTTTCGGTCTCCGAGAAGGGGGAATGGTAGCTTGGAAGCACTGCAGCCAAATGCGCCACTCGGCAGAGGCGCCTGATCACCGTTGGACGCGGATCTCGCTCCGCCATGCAAACCCTATAATCTTCTCCTCCAATGTTTACCAAGACAGGAGCTGGGAAACTCAAATACTACTCGATTGCAGCTAATAAATGTGTTTAATGAGCATCTAGCGAGCGGTTTGGTCGAGTTTTTTGGCGTGTTTTCGAGAGCACGACCCAGAGCATTCTTCAGCGAGGCGTAGCCGAACTGTGCTCCAATGATGGCGGCTGCTCGTTGTTCGTCTTGTCCTTGATGGCCCCAGCTCAATGTGGTGTCCACCGTGTGACCTAGCTGCATTAAAACTGTCGATACCTCCATTTGTATAAGCGAAAAAAACGCCATGTCGTGATTTTGGAGCGGTTAAAACGTCGAGTTTAGCTTGAATTTCGGTAGAATTACAGCATATGGATGTTTTAAAACCTGGGTGCCGAGGCGCTACACGACCAAGGGCAACTTGGCTCGACGCTTAAAACGGACGGTTCTCCTACATATTTATAGCCATACTTTTGTCCCCTAAAAAATCATTTTATACAAAAATTAGGCTTCTAATGAGAATTTTCTGTTATCCTGGAGGGTTTAACACATTTTATGCTCGGCTGGTGTTTACAAGAAATCATTTTAAACCGTTTCCTGTCGAAAGTACGAAAAAAAAAAGATTTAAATTCGAGAAAAATCGTGGTGGTTTGGGTCGGAAGGACTTGCGGAGGCGAAGGAAGGAAAAGGGGGAAGAAATGTTTTTCAAACCCTACAGCATCGAGCCCAGTCGTTCAACATAACGGTCGCAGGTTTTATAGTTTCGGCTACGGTACCGTAGAGGTAAACTGCACCGACATTTGCTAGCTAAAACCGCTCAAAAAAAAAAATTGAACCCTCCGAGGCTGAGTGGCTTCTCTGGCGCGACAAACAAGCTCCAGGTCCGCCATGCTTCAGCTCTGCTCTACAAGGAAACCTACCGTGACAAGGTCCAATGGCGCACTGCAAACACTGAAAAACGGGGCTTAAAGCTAAAGCCAGGGCGTTGCAGACTCCCTTCCCTCGATCCAAAAAGCGCATAAGCGAGCACGAGAAGGCGGGTTCTCTCCCGAGCTCGGTCCGTCGGTGTTTCTGGGCTAGTCGGTGAGAGAGAGAGGGGGTGAGAGAGGGCGAGTCTCTGCACGGTGAGATATTAAACCGAGATCCCTGATGGCTAACCGACAGAGGCGGCTGGCTGTTCCGCCAACAGCCGCATGGAGGTCTCGGCGCGGAAACCACCGTGTATTCCCCCACGCAAAAGCCCCCGGTCACAATCGAAACAGTCACGTTTTCATGGGGGGGAATTAGCCCGAAAGAGCGATATAATTGTATGAAAATAGCACATTTACCTCCGGGTCTTACATGCGGTTCCTTCCCCGCTGTTCGGGACTAGAAATTCGGGTATGGCCGACCTCGTCTGCGCGCTGCCACCGCGGTCGGTTTATCTCGCTGTTACAAAGAGGCTGCCGACCGAGGCGCTTTTTAACAACATACACACCGACGTTAAATGTGCAATTTTCTAAATTTTTTGCGGCTTTTTCCAGCTTTCTTTATGGCGCTCGCTCTGTTATGAAACCGAGCGGCTGTACTGCTGGCTTACCTGTCTCTCGGCGTGAGCCTCGGCGTCGTTGTGGAGGAAGAAGGGGAGGGTTGAACGATAGCCAGCACTGCGCCGTCGGTCCTGGGCTCCAGTCCCCGCAGAGATGGTCCTTCCCCCCCGCCTCCATCTCACTCGCTGTCTCCCTCCAGTCAGCGCGCAGCAGCTCGTCTCTCTCCATCCAACCATTTCGCCACGCCGAGACATTTTTTCCGACCGTCGATTCTCAACACGACCGAGGGCGCTCATTTGTCGACTCCCGGAGGCCGAGCCGCTCACATCTGCAGCCCCGAGTGTCTGATCAGGTAGCTTCATGAAAGTTGTCCAATTTAATGCAACTGGCTCATCCGTTAACTTAAAATAAACAATACAAAACTTTACGGTTTTTACTTATCAGTGCCAGATTTGCCACTTTTTTAGACGAGAACTATCTGGAAGCTCCGCCATGCAGCGTCCGTGTCTCTTTACTTTGCTCCAAAGGCGCTTTTAGTAAATTGTAAGCGGCTGTTTGACAGCTTCATTTTGGCCCAGCATGTTTTTTCTTTTCAACTCCACCTTGTGTGTTTGTGGGCGGAACCCGCGGCCATCCAATCCAGTCAGTCCGATTCAGGGAAAACAAATGACTTTCAGGCACTGGGCCTTGTTAAAGTGTGCTGCGTTCCCGTGCTGTGGGAAAAATGGGCATCAGAGGACGTTCAGACATGGAGACATGCAAAACTTGACTAAGTTGTTTCCTTAGGGCAGTCCAGGTTCTTAATTTAATCTTATTTGACTTGCAGCGGTCCCTTTTATCAGTTGATGAATGTTTATATAGTCTCTTTCTCATTATGTGTCTAGAAATGAATGAGGCCTTCATTGTATTCAGAGCGTAAATAAAGTGAATGATTGGATACAGCATGTTTGCTGACCCAAAGAGTTAAAAGCAGTAAGGAATTGATAATATTATTGATTTGATTATGTTTCCTACACTCACAATTGTGGAGATGTGTGCTCAGCTGCACAAGATGTCACCCTAACAAATACTTGTAAAGAGAAAACTTTGACATTTATGTAGTGCAGACTGTCCAGTTATTACTTTTGAAGTCATTTTTAGCCAGTCCATAACAGCAGAGTACATACAAGTAATCTATAGGTCAACCATTTTATAGCTTCAAACTGTTCCTGTCATTGTTACAAGGTCCAAAGTGTTTGTTTTTACAATGTGTTTTTTGTCTTTTGCTGTTTAATGTCATTATTTGTCAACAAATTATTAAAACTAATAAAGCAACAGCCAAACACACAATTGATCCTACCTTTTTTTTTGCCTGCATATAGACTTTGATCAAAAGCAGCATTATGAAATAAAGCAGCAAGAAAACTGCATGCTTATTTCTTTAAATCCCAGGGCAAGAGTAGTTAAAGACTAATCAAGATAGGAGGAGTGACAAGCTGTCGTTTACCTGACCTCCCTGAATGCAGCATGCAGCTGAGTAGCAGACATCCAGCCCCAGTGATGCCCCTCTCCTGTTACTTCCAGGATCAAATAAAGAGAAATCCTGTGAGTGAAGTAAAATACTGTTTCCGAATACATTAATGTGGGAAAAAAAAGAAGCATTTTAAAGGTTGTTTTTACTTTTAATAAAGCGAAATCCAAAGCATGTACAGTGTTTCAAGCACACAAATGTGATCAGCAACACAAATTGCATAATGTGACACATTTACAAAGAAGTTTTTCCTTCATTCACTCAAAAAAATACATATCTCATCACTGACTGTGGAGCTATAATGCTCATCCCATTTTAAAATCATGAAAGCAACTACACTCTTAAAATCAGATATAAGTGCATACCACCAAGGCAAACTTGACAAACGCACATATTTTTTGGGAATTGTCGAGGTACAGGATTGTACATGTGGAAAAGGCACCATAAAGTTTATTATTTGTGTGTGTGATTAAAGATGTGACGAGATAAAAAAATATGTCTAGCTTAAATAGTAAAGATAAAACAACATTCAATTCTATTGTTATTATGTCGGCAGATCTAAAATGTGACTGCACTGTAGTCACTTTAAAGCCGTGCTGGAAAGAAAAAAAGAAGAAAAAAACATTTGATAAATGGATTTGCCTCACATCTTATGGGAAAATACCTCTCATTTCCAAAATCCTAACATTTATCCTGAATCAAGGCATTAAAAAAACCCAAAAAACTATAGTATAAACAGTCGTGACCAATATCTGAAGTACAAAACAAAAGGGCAAGCATTTTTAATGCCACATGGAAAGATAAGATATGGAAAAGAAATTTGGAAAATGAGAGAGATTAGGACAGATAGTTACACACCTAAATGACAAAATAAATGGTTGTCAGTTGTGGTCACAAACATAAATTTGTGTTTGAATTCTAAAAATGATGAAAAGATAAATAATAATAGCAGCTGGAAACTGCAAAAAAAAAAAAAAAAAGACTTCACTTAGAAGTATGTGAATTAAATGGTGATGTTTATGCCAGTGGGAAATCCTCATCCTCGTCGAGTTTCACTTTGGCATCATCTGCATCCAGCTGCAATGCAAGCACATCTGGTTAACAACACCTCCATTCACACGAAACGACATGAGTAGATAAGCAAGAGACACAGTGAAGCACTTACGCATTTCATCTCCTTTACAGAGAAGATTGTTCCAGTCAAGAACATGCGAAGAGGGATGGTGAGGATGAGGACGAAAGGCAGCGCCAGAGAGAAGGGGCTGATCTTCACCACCCACAGGATGGCCAGGCACACCAGCTGGATCAGAGTAAACAAGTGCATCCGCAAGGTCGACACCTGCACAGATGACAGCAAAGGAGGGTTTTTAACAGAGAGACATTAAGCCAGAAAATAACACGAAGAAGCCAGTTTACATAATTAGCATTTACAGGGAGGTTCTGAGGAGTTTGTAGACTTATTATAGGGGCTATACCCTAATTCTGAAGTGTGTAAGTCTGTAAAAACAGCTATAAAGAGACATAAGATGATCACATTCAGGCATGAAATGACACAAAAGTTTGCAAGGAGACACAAAATAATTACAAAGACACATGATGCCCAGAAAGAGACACAAAACCATCCCAGGGAGATGCAAGACAACAACAATGAGATGCAAAATGACCAAAGGGACATATATAATGCCACAACCTTTGTCTGAACTTCTGTTAATAGTTCTCCGTAATGAGTAAATGACAACAAAGAGACAAAAAGTAATGACATACAGACATAAGGCAACACAACAAGTTAGCGACAAGACACAAAAAGAACACAGAGACTCATGTGATTCCTGTAAAGACACAAAATGGCCACATGGATACATGTAGTTCCTACAAAAAGACACCGAATCACCACAAAGACAGATGTAATTCCCACAAAGAGACGCAAGATAGCCGGAGACACATGTGGTGCCCACAAATAGACGAAAAATGATAAAAGAGATGCATGTTAGGCCCACAAAGAGACACAAAATGACCACAAAAATGTATGTAATGCCTGAAAAAAGACACAAAATTGGTACAGAGATGCAAAACAACCACAAAGAGACACAAAATGACCACAGAGATACATACAATGACCACAGGCACATACATATTGGCCCCAAAAAAAGACACCAAAGCATGATGGAGAGATACAAAACAACCACAGTGAGAGACACAATGACCGTAGGGACACATATAATGCCACAACCTGTGACTGAAATTAGTGTCAATAGTTCTTGAGAAGTTAGTAATGAGGAAACAACTAGAAATCGACAGAAGTGATTATGTACGGACATAAAAGGGACACAAAAGTTCTGCTAAGAGACACAAAATGAACACAGGGACACATGTAAGTCCCACAAAGAGGCACAAATCCATTGGGGATGCAAAAAAAAAACCCCACAAAGAAACATTACATAACATCATGGCCCTTGGAGCTGTGAGCCTTTTAGATGTTTGTGCAGGTTTTCATTGTCTCACAAATATTGGAAGACGTAAGTGTGCGCCACGTGAAAAGCTATGAGTAACATGAAGTGTAGTTGAGCGTGATACGCACCCTGGTGGCGTAGGCATCAGAGGGATGGTATTTCTTGGGAGTAATCAGCAGAAGCATCCTGTCCCACATCTGGATTCCACTCAGAGAGGTGATACCCATGTAGAGGAAGATACCGAACAGGGCCGTCATAGGAATCATCTTCAGAATGGGCTCCATGTAGATGGAAACACCTGAGAGCCGCAGAGAGACGGCGGTTATTAGAGGAAAAAGCTGGCTGTTTGTGGTGACCCTGCTGTGACAGAGGGCAGCACCTACCAACCATGATGGCCACAAGGATGCCACTGATCCTCTGCTCAACCACCTTCTCAATCTCCGGTTTGGGGCCCTTGGACATGACGGTGAGGGCGTTGGCGTGGGTCACAGATCGCACGGTGGCGGCGCTCAGCCAGGGCACCCCGAAGATGGAGGAGATCCCCCCCATGGTGACCAGGATGAGCAGATCAAAGTGGAAGCCGGATCCTTTCACCATTTTCCTCTCGGGTTTGCTCACGATCAGCCTGAGATCCACAGACGCATAGACTCACATATCTTCTCAGAATCTGACTCACATAGTTGATAACGATCACAGGAAGTAAGACTCACGTAGTAATCTGGGACTCGAGGAAGATGAGGATGAAGACGAGCAGCGCAGGTACGCAGCAGGCGCCCATCATCCAGATGGGGAAAGGCTTCCTCTCTCCCATGGGGTTGATGAACCAGCCTCGGACTGCGGGGTTGGTCACTTCAACACCTTTTGGCACAACCAGTTTCTACAAGGAGACGGGGTGGTGTTCATTCACAAACAGAAGTAGGTTGTAATTTTGTACAAATCTGATGCAATGGGCATTTCTTGAGTGCAGATGTTGTTGAAGAGACAGAAAAATCTGAGATGATTTGAATAAATAAAAGGTAAAGGAGAATAAACAAAATGTGTGTTCTTTTTTTTTTATCTGCAGAAAATGAGTTTGAAAGGATTTTTGAACAGACACACAATAAGTAAAACAAATGAAACAGACTAGGGGTCGACTGATTATCGGCCTGACCAATTATCTGAGCATTAAAGATCAGATTTTATTGAAAATATAAAATGCACATAAGTGAATTTTCTGCCTCCATAGTTACTGTATTTGTCACTGATGAATTAATTTGACAAAGTCCACACTCATACATATGTTCCAAGAACTACATAATAGACTAAAACTAATTTAATAGCAAAGCCTGTGTACAGTCTGTGCAATAATTAAAATATGAGCACTTTAAGCCCTTTTTACCTGAGTGTAAGCATCTTCAATGCTGATATCCACAGCGATCATGAAGAAAATAGCAATGGGGACTCCGAAATCTCCAATCAAACGACGCATCTAAAAAAGACAAAAAGAAAAGAGTGGTTAAAACACAGCACAGCTCCAGCATGATTGAGAGCTTTTTCCATTTAGATACTTGAAAAACTGATCTCACCGGGCCAGGGAGGTAGTGGCTAGACTTGAACTGACGGAGGAAGAAGGCGATGAAGAAGCAGCCAAACATCAGGCACATAGACAGCAGGGCAGTGTTGGGGTACGGCCTCTCGATCTCCAGGTCACGGACGGTCACGTTGCCGTCCGGGTGGTACTCGACGTGCTGCTTGATGACCGGGTGGAAGGGGTTGTCCAACGTGTCGTTCAGATGATCGTAGTTCAGGATCAGAGGATGGGTTTTGAAGATCTGAGGAGCAGAAAACAAAATGAGACAAAGGCCACGAAACAGAAAAAGGACCTCTGGTGTGAAATGAGTCGATGGGTGACGTGAGGAGACCTTGATGAGCTTATTGAAGGTCTCGTAGATGAAGATGAGGGAGATGAGGATGGAGAAGATTTCCTGGGTGAATCGGGAGATGAATCGGACCAGGAAGCTTCCCTCCACAGCCACGATGATCACCACGATCACGATCAGCCACATTCCCACCCAGATACGACCCACGATGTACTCTATTCCCTGGGCCTTGCAGAACTATTACGGAAAGGAACGAGGAAAGGCAACGTTCTAAAGACTGATTTCAGCACATTTGACAATTTGCATGCTGTGAAATAGTTTTTTTTAAAAAGAGTTTTAGGTGTAATTTTAGGAACAATTTAGTGTTGTTTTACAATTTTTTCTTGCTTTGTTAAATTACACATAATAACTAGGAACGTCACAGAAAACAAGTATTGAACTACACATTGACTGCAAGAAAAAATAAATAATGTCACATCAAAAATCTGTTTTTATAAATGGCAATTTGTTCTTTTACAGTGTTTGATAGGAAAATTATACTATTTTTCCACTTGATTTAATATTGCTGAAAAAAATGTTAAAAGTTATTTTACAGATATCTGGTGTTTTTATTGGAAGAAAAATTATGTATTTAGGTATATAAAATAATAAATAATGTTTTAAAGTGTTAGATTATAGATTTTCCCTGTGTTGGTAAATTATAGACGGTATCTTGTAAAATCACACAAAAAATATTGATTTACATCTTAGCTGTAAAACAAAGACACACAATAAATAACATCAACATCAAAAATCTGCTACTTCTTAAATCAGTAGTCAATTATTTTACCATGACACTATTTTTAAAGATATTTGTTAAACTGTTGCTTTACATATTTCCAATGTTTTTACAAGTTACATATAATATCTAGTGTAATCACTGAAAACAATAAATTAACTTGCATGTTGACTGTCAAAAATGATAATAAAAAAAGCTAAAAATATCATAATGTTACAGATATTCACTGTTACTGTCACTGTTTTTACAGTTGTTGAATGTTACAGCATTCCATGTTTCTTTAACCATAGTTTTTCTGGCACCTTTGCTGCTAATTTTATTCTTTGTGAAAACTATAATCATGGAACTCGTCTTTAGCATTCTAACATACCGCGAAAAAAGCTTCTTCAAACACCAGTAGTGGTCCAGAGAAGCCGATGACCAGGACCGGCTGGGCAGCGATGAGGCAGAAGATGACACCCTGGATGCTGGTGGAGATCATCAGCTCGGACACACCCATCATTTTTTCTGTTTTGTCAGCTGGAGTCAGACACGAGAGACAATTATTAGTGACTTAAAGAGTCGATGAATTTGTACAAATGAACTGATGCTTTGTCTTTTACCTAGAAGCCCTCCGAAGGTGATGGCCGGGGACAAGGCAGCGAAGTAGATGAAGATGACGGCGGAGAGCACCTGAGGGTTCAGAGCGTCTGTGTAGTCGCTGATGTAGACGCTGTAACGCCGCTTTATGTCCTTCACCATCCCACCGAAGGGGTATCCTGTCCGGGCCAGAGGGTCCTCCCTGGGCTCGGCTGGGGCTTGGTCAACTGGACGAGCAAACAGATCAAACTGAATATAACAGTGATTTCATTAAATCTGAATCTGTTCCCCTGCTTTTTTAAGCCTTGTTTCTACTGTCTACTGTTGTCTGTTTGTATTCTTTTTTTATTTATATGCACAATAACTTGGATTTCGAGGCCACTTTTGAACTTTTGCAGCGAGCATGTTGCCTGTCCTCCTGATCCCACCTCTGTTGCTCCTGTGTTTACACTCATTATCTTCTGTCATGTGACTAAAAGTGGATGCACAAATTTGAAATACACTGTGCAAAAGTTTCTGTTGCTCCCTTGTTTTTGCATTAACTGTAGGGAAAGGGCCCTCTTTCATGTAGCACCCTTAAAGTCTGCACACATCTGATTGTTTAACCACAGTATAAATATGAGAAAGCGTCTATGTGATGGGTTATATATCGATTGCTATATGCCATCCAGTCTATAGTTTCTGGGTTTTTGTTGAGTATGTTTCCAGAACTTTTAAAAATAGACACATTTTCTATCGTCTTTACGAGTGTGTATGAATGTTTCATCAAAATCTAAAGCCAAATATAAATTATACATACTGTAACAAATGAATACATACACAAACAGATGCTTTTTTTCCCCCATCTATACACTTTTCAATGATAATAAATCTCTGAATCACAATTTCCTAGTTGGTCAGAAACTGTACTTGCCATTCAAATGCATCTGTATGGTAACAACAGCAGTAGAAAAATGTGTCTGCACCTGTAACATTCAATATAACATATTCTATCTTGTCTGTTTAATCCAAAAACAAGTCAAAGTCTAAAAACGACTTGTTTTTCTGGGATGTTGCATCAGATTTTACTTTTTCTTTCTGTTTAACTGTTTCTTTAGACTCCAATAGAAGACTTGGCCCAGGTTTAAAACGCGATTTTACGCTGTGAGCCGACCTTTAACTCTGTCTCCGAAGGCGAGGCGGCTGTCACAGGGACGCAGTCTGTCGCGCAGCATCTTCTGCTGGAAGTCGATGATGGGCTCCAGCATGGCCTTGTCCTGGATCTCAGTGGGAGGAATCACGATGCTGCAGTCCATGAAGTCGGCGATGGCGTTAGTCAGATCTTTCTCACTCTGGGCCAAGAAGGCTTCAAGACAGAAAACCTGACAGAGCAGAAACACACAAAGCTCTCACTCACCTGCACCAACAAACTGGGTAGCATTTCTACAGTGTAAATTATATTAGGTTCATTCAACTCAGCCTTATAATCAGCCTACAAGAAAATGTTAAAGGCCAGTTTGGTGGAAATAAGCTTTTAAACTATATGTGCTTGGACCCAAAGTGGTATTTTGTGTGGAGTTAACCTTCAAAACTGTAAGTAATTAGACAAACAATTGGGTGGAATAAACATTTGGAACCATATCCTCTTCAATTTAAAATAACTTTGGGGGGATTAAACCTTTTAAAACTGTAGGCACTTTTTGAGTGAAATGTACCTTTAAAACTACACTATTTGGACAGAAAGTAGTGTTTTGGTTGGAATAAACCTTAAAGAAAGTTGTGTTTTAAATGGCATAAAGCTTTAAATCTATAAGTAGTTGGACAAAATGCCATTTTTTAAAGTGGATTAACATTTGAAACCATGACTTGTTCATGAAAAAGTATTAGTTAGGTTAAGTCAACATTGGATGAAAAGTAGCATTTTGGGTAAAATAAACCTTTAAACCATAAGGTGTTCATGAGAAAACAACATTTTGGAGAATAAAATCTTTAAAACTGCAAGTGTTTGGATAGAAAGTTGTAATTTCGGTGGAATGAACATTTACAACCAGTAAGTAGTAAATTAAGTGTCACGCTTTAATGATCATTTAGTCCAGCAGGCGGCGCTGTTGCAACAAAACTAGGAAACAAGGGTCCTAGAAATGTGGTCCTGAAACTGCAGCCTCCTCTGCTGCAGACACATAATATCGTACAGTGTATCGGTGTGATTGTGTCTCACCCAGTCGGCCATCAGAGCTCCCATGGATCGGCCAGTCTCGGTGTAGTCCATTCCGCTCTGGCTGGGGCCCACCAGCACGAAGACGAATCGGACGGGGACAGGAGACTCCAGGGCGGACTCCATCACCACAGAGTCAACCAGCCGGACGAATCCCACCACCGGTTTCTCCAGGGACTCGACCACACCTGCAGGGAAACGCTGTCTTTTAGTGGTATCTGTTGCAGAAATGCAAACCCGCATCAGAGGAATAAAAGGAAAACGTACCTGAAAGGACAACTGAGGCCTCCATGTTGTCAGAGCTGTCTCTCTGCAAAAACAAGGCAGCAGTACAGTGAATGTCCGCTCTGTTATGTTTATACATAAATCAAATAAAGGATGAATCTTATAAAATGTACCTTCTTTGTTACAGAAAAGGTTTGCATCTGAATGTCTCCAGAAGGAGTCACCTCAGGTCCCCCAGACTGGCTGGAAATGCAAAATAAATTGGCATTAGGTGCAGACATGATAAAGGCATTACCATCTTGCAGGAGAAACATGTGGGTTACCTGCGTCTCATGAGGAGAGCTCTCAGCAGGCCATCTCGATCGCCGGAACGAATCTCATTCTTATTCACCAGCTCATCGACCACTTTCTCAGCAATGGAAGACAGACTGCTGGCGTTCAGGTCCAAGATGACAGCACCTTTGTGAAATGGACGCAAGCTTCAATCTGTCAGCAAATTGCAGTTTTATCCAAACGTGTACTCATTTCATTTCAGGTTCTGCAGTCACCTGTGCCCATGCTCCTGCGGAGCTGAATTAAGCTCTTGAAGGTGAGATAGGAGACATGGGATGGACCCCACGTTCTGGTGGCGGGATTGAAGTTCTCCTCGTAGCCCACCCAGCGGCTGGTCTCCTGCCAGGTGCTACCCTGGAGCTCATTCAGCTCCACGTAAGCCTGCAGAAATGTCGTATGTTTCTTATAAAAGATACCAATAAATGATGGTTTCTATGATTTAATCTGAGGAGTCAAAGAGTACCGACCTGAGCGTCCCCTCTTGTGGTGGCATTGGTGTTCAGGTTCAGAAAAGCTGGAATAAAGAGGAAGAGAAGTGATTTGTGCGCAGATGTTTAAAGTTAAATCACCAACAGCTGCATGGACTGTCAGAAGAGTTTACCCTCTGAATCGCTGGGGATGACGATGGCCTCTGACGGTGGTTCATTCTCCTCCTCCTCCTTCCTCATTCCAAAGCCGAAGCCTGGTGGAGAGCTGATGGTGTGAGGAAACAGAAACATTAATAATATCAGAGGTGGACATGAATCCAGTGTCCTGCAGATAACATGTCAGAGGCTGCTCTTCCTGTTTGAAAAATAATGCAACTCAGCACTTTAGTTATTCTTTTTTTTTGGACATGAACTCGCGTATTTGTAGGTAAACTGGCTTTGAAGCCTGTGACTGCAGCTGAAAAACTGATTACAAGAAAGTTCTTCAGTCTCAGTGATTAAGTCAATCAAGTTGTCCATCAGTTTGAAATTCTGTTCTTAGTGCTATTCTGTGTGCAGCCACAAGATGGCAGAATTACTCAACCTATTTCTCAGCTGAGTCCTTATCACTTCCTGGCTTTGAGACTTGAACCTCTGAGTTTAGATTGCCGTGCATCTTTACTGACAGGCTGTATGGTAATCGGCCTTAACACCACATTGTTATTTAAGCCTTATCTTATTTACAAGCATCACACTTCAGTCAGCTGGTCTGTATCTACAATTCAAGTTCCCAATCATGGTAATTAAATCCTGATTTAATTTCAAACCACTATATTTATTTAATAGTGTGATCTTTTGTGTGATGTATCCTGGCATTTTTCAAATTTCCACACGACCTAAAATCGACATAATCCTGACATTGACTACTTGGAGGGCGGCTCAACAAGCTGGTAATGCAACATAAGCCTTTTAAACAGTAGTTGTGGCAATTGTGTTCACAAACAGCTACCTACGAACACATCCAGTAAACATTAAACAGTGTAGACACCTATTAGATGTCATGTGTCTGAAGTTCCATTTCTAATCTACTTTTAGCTCTGTTTTGGTCTCCACCAATTTCTGAGGGATACTTTCGCTCTTTAACTACTACATCTACCCTTATGTTCATGAGACAGTTGTGTAGAGGTGGCCTGGTCATGTATATACAGATTTGGAAGTAATTTTTAGACCACTGTGACAGCCATTTTTTTTTTTGTTTGTTTCTTTTCCATTTCCTTTGTCGTTCTTGCTGGAGCCATAGTGTGTTTATTTCTTAAGGCTGTAATTTAACGCTGTTAGCAACAGCTCTCTCGTTCCTCTTCATGAAACACCAAGATGTCTGTGTTCTTGTTATCTCTCAGTTTTCTTCTTTAAGCCTTGCTGAGTGATAAAGTAGCTTGGATTATCTGTTGACTTGAGATGTACAATTTAAAGACAAAAAAAGGCTCCTTAGATATGTTTTGGACCATGTGGTGTGAATTTTGAAACGTTTACAGCTTCTATTCATCACAATTTTAAACAATTTATAGTGTATTTTTTATTTTTACACCTTTTCATGTCTTTCAGAAAATTCTGTACTGACTCAGCCACTATGATAACAATCTAACAAAAGGATCAGTGTTGAAGACTTTGCTCAACAAAACAGTATGTGGTCTGCTAATTATTTCCAGTGTTATGTGTTTTTTTTCTCACTTAATACAGCTGCCTACTGAGTTGGAAATTAATCTGAACAATAAAGTTGGGCTAAAACCAAATCAATGAGCCAAAAGCGGCTCAAACATTTCACAGACTTGCTCTGTCTGATGCATAGTAAGATGTAATATCTAATCAGAAACTGGTTGCAGAATTTCAGCGTAAACACTGTTAGGTTTTGCTTAAACAGAGAAGTCTTGATGAGAGGATGAACTCACAGGGCCAGTGGGGAGGGGAAGGCCGAGTCATTGTCTTCATAAGACATGTCACTGCTCTGGATAGGAAGAAAATGTTAAAAGAATTATTGGAAGCTAGTTGGATTGACAACAAAATCAGCGGTTTACATCCTGACAAAAACAGCTATTGGAGTTTTAATGTTTCGTCCACCAACCTCATCAAAACTGAAATTGTTTTCCATGGATGTTGAATTATTGGTCTCCAACTCTCAGCTACGTTTATGCATTCCCTGTAACGAAAAATGAATTAACACAAACAAAAGAACAGGACATAATCATATCCTTAATGTAATTAGAAACCACAAATGACTCAATGAGGATCAGCTATGTTAAATCTTCAGACAACTGTTCTATCTGGTGGGAGTTTTTCATCTAATTGCGATAGCATCCAAAAAACAGGATTTACCAAATATACATATTACATTGTGGAAGTAATGACACTTAAAGCACCATTGGTTTGTAATCAGCTTGGTTGGGTGTTTGGGTGAATCACAATAAGATCTGCTTTCGGCCCTTTGGAGGCACCCTGTTTGAAAGCACCGCCATCTACCATCTACACTCACTTCGAGTTTGTTTGCGGAGCCGTGGCTCAGACAGATAATGAGTCGGCCGTTATGAATGCGAACTACGTTGTAGTTTCAAAAGCTGACATACAGAGTCTTATCTCTGAGTTACACCCTTCAACCAGACACCTCGGTTCTCCTCAGTAACAAGAAAGTCAAAATCTATAAGTTTAATGCAGGTTGTGCATCTGCTGCAAAATCAAGGACAGAACATTTAGACAATAAAATTGAAAATTTCTAACAATATAGTTCCCATCATGTGTCATTGCATCTCCATTCCATGAAACAAACAACAGAACCAGCCTGGCACCTTTTTTTTGTAAAGTGCAACTGAAAAAGAGGGACTTTAGTAGAAAAACACTGACTTTACACCTGCTCAGAAATAATTAACGGTCATTTTTGGAACAAGCACATGAACAAATGTGACCAGTCCATGTAAACAAGCAATTCTTTCCTCTGTTACACTGAGAATATACACATATTTTAGCACAAAACTGTGACACATATATAAAAAGGCAACAAATGATAAAAAAAAACCCTCCCTGTCTAAAACTGCTTTCTTTTTAAATATGATAACTGTACTTGATCATGTCTTGAAATTAGTGAAAAAATGCTGTAAGTACGGTTACAGAACATCCACGTCAAAATTTTTGTGGCTTTGGGTTCGAGAAAATAACATCTCCCCTGCTGGGTTACATTCAGATATCCATCTCGTCTGACCTCTACCCCTTAGTCCAGTAGTAGCCCACACTGAGTCTGACCCCTGGCCAGAGGAGGCCACACCCCTACCTGTATGCAGGTACTCCCACCTGGTCTCCAGCGCTGGAAACAGGACAATTGCTGCTCTGTCAGCCTCCACGAACCTGGTGACAAAGTGAGCCAGGACAAACGAAAAAGACAGAGAAACGGAGGAGCGGGAACACCCCTACGAAACTACGTCGACCTGAAGAAGTGCAGTACCCCACGACCCCTCTGGTTGCCACGCAACCTGGCGCAGGGGCGGAGCCTGTGTCAGACAAACATCACTATCAGTCGGGGACACCTTGATGCAGGGTTATCCCAGCCCTAATTTGCCCGCTCCGCCCTCCCTGCACGAACCAAGTCCAAGCCAGGTCAGGGGCTTTCAGACGACCCAGCAGGCTGAAGCTCATCCTGTCCGAGGGGCACATATGGGGTGAAGAGGGAAGAAAAGGGGGCAACCTGCAGTATCAAGATGAGAGCATCTTCCTACGTCATCTTGTTTACATCAAGGGGATTCCCTCGTGATGCAGGTTGGGGGTATTTCCAAGAGATTAAATTCAACTTTTTTCCCCTTCAAGGTTTTGTAACACGGATGCAACAGAGTGAGACATCCTCTGCAGCTGAGTGGAGGTGGACGCTGGCAGCTGGTGACAGGCGGATGCAGGGCCGACTGGTGAAAAAGGAAAGGTTGAGATAAGCAGCAAAACAACCAATGAAGAAAAATGACACTGTAAAAAGTCAGTTTCTGCAAGGGCACTGCTGTCAAATAAAAGAAAATATACAAGTGATTACACTCCTGTGCAATATCACTTGAATGTGAAATATTTAAAAATTGCATCATGTTTTAATTGTTGCACGAGTTCTAAATTAATAATTGCAGCTCCTTCTCTTATAAACAACCAAAAACAGAAGACATTTGAGAAACTGTATTAAGAAGACAGGCCCTAAAATAGAAACCGAATGCAGCAAAAGACAATACACTTATGATCGCTGAGATAGTAGTTAGAAAATCTGTGATTACTGAAACAAAATAGAGTGCAGTCAGTCCAACGGCATGAGCATGTCTATAAAATGAGCTGTGAACAGCTTTCTTGTGTCTGCATCATGGCTCTACATGTAAAGGAATCGCCAGAGAAGCTGAAAATCTGATTGTGAGACTTCACAAAGATAGAAAAGGAGACAGGAAGATCAGTGACCAACTAAAAAAACTGTCAAAACAGAGCTGCAGCAGTAATCAGTAGGTTTAGAATGAACCACAGTACTACTAATCAGTGTCGCAGTGGTGTGAAACACAGTTAGGCAAGTGCTTCAGGTTTGGCACAGGCGTTATTAAGGGAAATCAGAGATTCTGTGACAGCTCAGACAGTGTGAAGGACATTGCATAACATCAGCCTGTTGCTTGCTCTTCAACCTAAACTTGCAAAAGGAAACATTCTTGACAATCAAGTGGTATTGCAAAGGGACGGAAAAAATAACTTTCAAGCTAAGGCTGCAAAATGCTCAATTTGCAGTCTAATAGTTACCTGAGAAGTAGTGGAGACAGCATGGAGTTTTCCATTTACATTGGAGGAGTTTATGGGTGATGTGACAAAGTTTTTGGCGCGTTGTTTATTTTGCACGTTTTTTTAATTTTTATTTTGTAGAATAACTAAAGGCTCTTTTACGAGTTTTGAACTTCCATCTAGATTTAAACATGTAATAATTAGAATGTGTTTTTGTTTAATGTAAAGTAAAAAAAAAAAAAAAGAAGAGAAAAACAAGCTTAAGAATAAGTTTAAACCAGATGTGTTGGTGTGTCCCTGCAGTGTGTTCCTGATAATGTCACCAGCAAAACGTCCCCACCACAAACAAGTCCATCATGTTTCATGGTTGAAACCACACATGCAGATACCTCTGGGTCTCACAAAGACACAGCGACTGAAACAAAAGTGCAGATTTCCACTTGCCTCATGTCCTTTGTATTTCCTGGCCCAAGTGGCTCTATTGTTCTTATTGGTTTCCATCAGTCATGGTTTCTTTGCAGCAGCTTTACCATGAATAAGACATGTAACATGTTGGCTGCTTGGATTCTGAGAGGCATTGATGTGGGCTCTGTGAGTTTCTGAGGCTGGTATTGAAGTAATTTAGCAGCAATTATAATGTAAATTGCAGACAGCATCACCACAACCTCTCCTCAAAGCGTTTGCATCTGCCACAACACAAGCTGGTGAGAACGGATCTATTTTAATGATGTAGATTTCTGTGTTTTGAAATGAAACAGAAACAAATCATTGTCACCCACACTCACAGATTGTACACATTTTAGCAGTTTGATTTCTGAATACACCAGAAAGGCAAACAGTGGATACAGACGGTAGCTTTTGCACTGCAACGGCAAATGTGGGAGTATTGTGCTCGACACCTGCATTCTTTCTTACAGCCAGCAGGGGGCGACTCCTCTGGTTGCAAAAATGAAGTCAGATTATATAGAAGTCTATGAGAAAATGAGCCGTCTTCTCACTTGATTAGTTACCATTGTTAACATTTTCCTATAGAGTTTATGGTCTTCATTGCTAGTTTCAAGCCTCCTTCATTACAACATGCTGTCCATTTAGTAAATTATGGTCCCGTTTAAAGTACGATAGCATTTGACTAGACAACCAAATTCTAAAACTTCGGGTTTCACAAAGGTACTTCACATGATGCGTATTTTATAGATTTTGCTGCATACAGGAATTTTTGGCGCCCACCTCCAAGGCTACACAGAAGACTTTGCTGCTTCAGCAGTCATGGGGGTGTTGTAACAAGCTTTTGTAGTGAAGAGGGAGTTTTTAATTGACCATTCACTCCGTTCCAACCTTCACTGATGTGTATGAGCTCTGGGTAGCGACTAAAAGAATGAACTCACAAATACAGCCGGGCAGAATGGGGTTCCTCCATAGAGTGGCTGGGCTCAGTCTTGGTGAGGTGGTTGGACGTCCAGAGGGACCTGAGGTGGTTCAACATCTAATAAGTATGATTCCCAGGCAACTACTTTCAGAGGTTTTCTGGGCATGTTCCGCTGAGAGGACATCAGGGAATAGCCTAAGAATTTACTGGAGGAATTACACATCTCATCTGGCCTGAGAACTCCTTGGATCTTCTGGGAGAAGCTGGAAAACGCTGCTGTAGAGAAGAACGTCTGGAAGTCCCTGCTTAGCCTGCTGCAGCTGCAACCCGGAGAAGTGGTAGAAAATCCATCCATCCATCCGTTATCTATACACCACTTAATCCTCAATAAGGTCACGGGGGGGCTGGAGTCTATCCCAGTTGACTCAGGGTGGAGGCAGGGGACACCCTGGACAGGTCACCAGTCTATCACAGGGCTACACTTAGAGACAGACAACCAAGCACACTCACATTCACACCTATGGACAATTTAGAATCACCAATTAACCTCAACATGTTTTTGGACCATGTGGGAGGAAGCCGGAGAACCTGGAGAGAACCCATGCTGCACAGGGAGAACATACAAACTCCACACAGAAAGATCCTGGGTGCCCTCACTGGTGACCTTCTTGCTGCGAGGCAACGATGCTAACCACTGCTCCACCCTGCAGCCCGTGGTAGAAAATGAGATGCAAAAAAAAAGAACAAAGAAATGACATTTTTGTGTATCAAATGATTAAAAACACCACAAAAATACACGGATTTCTGTCAAATAAATGAACACAGACTCATTACCCTTAGTGTGCGTGGACCACTCATCATTACTGTTGTGCTTAGCCACCGGATAAAAGGCCCATTCTGAGTGTGGGGAAATCCTGACAATGCAGACATGAAGAAATCACAGTAAAATATTTAAACAGTAAAGAAAATGAAAACAACCAAAAAAGACAGAGCTCAAAACAAGTCACGCTTCAGCCATAGCAGCTCTGTGCGGCTATACGTGGGCACAGTGAGCTGCTCTTTGAGCTGAACACTAATGTGAGCATGCTGACATCGAGCAGGTAGGATGGCTACTGTGACCATCATCTCATCATTTAATATCTTGGTTGAGGTATTTTGAGGAAAATAAAGAAAGTCAGCGTCGTGGTCTCCACAGTGAATCAAATATATAAAATACACAAACTGAATAAAGAGCATGTAGTATTCTTTAATTCAATCAAGCCTTTTTAACAGGGGAATATGTATTTGTTGACGGCATCTCTACAACAGACCTCACATCATGAAACAACCAGTTATATAGGAAATGATAATGTGCAGCTGGAGCTCTGCCTCACATTCAGTTAATGAGGATGTCAGTGCTGCTTGTAGAATGTTGTCCCACTCCTCTGAAGGTGATGGATGTTTTGCGGGGACAGAATCATGCCGTCGGACATCCAGAGTTGCCTGAAAGTATTTCTTTGACGACAAGTGGTGGAGTTGATTCAAGTGTCTGCTTATGGTTCTAGCTGACATTTCTCTCCTATCATCTGTGGCATTATTTCATATAAATAAAGCTGCATTCTAAAGTGGCCTTCTATAGTTGCTGGTCAAAGGAGTTCTGGTCTGATCATTGTCCTTTAAAGCCACACCTGACCAGGCTGCAGATTAACTCAGTGCTTGAGAGTTTGTCACTTTGTTCACAATCGAACACACTGAAGACGATTTGCTTGCTGCATTTATACGAGTGTTGCATGTCCATACGCCCTGCAGCGAGGGACAGTGGGCCCCAGCTGAAGACCCTGTGGTGCAGGCCTGTTATCACCAATTGTGGAAGCTATCTGCTGCGTCCATGTGTCTCAACATACAGTGCTGAGACACTCCCAGACTTCATATGGACATTTCATTTCATTTGTATTGGACAGCACGCATCAACAGGTTAATGCAAAAAGTGACAGGAGAATTCTGTAAACACAGTGAGGTATCCCTGTGAAATCTCTCCAGCTGATTACTTTCAATCAGTTATCACAAGTTTTCTGACATTTTATTCTAAAATATGCAAATTAAGTAGTATGATGTTGGTATAAAAATGTGCAAATTTGAAAAGTTTCCAAAACAGAAATCTGAACATTGGATAAAGCCAATTTTAAAATTGCTTCATTTTGCTAACATATCAAAATAAAAGTTGTTTTGTTTGTTTTTATCACTCCATGAGCCTGAACACACTGCCAGCAGTTTTCACCATATTTTTAGGGATCAAAATGTTTTACAGGTTAAGTTATATGTTCGAAGCGGAACTTTCTGGCTCATTTTGTAAAATCACTATTTAGAAGTTAAAACTGTGACTAAGAGACGGCACACTGGAACTTCCCCACTTCATTACTCACATTTGTCTATTTTACAGTGTGAACAATAATGTACTGTTTTGTTTTATTTTATGTAATTCACTAATTTTTTTTCTTTTTTTAACAAAACTGACACACAGCGCCCTCCTGAGTGGATTATAACTATTGATGCATGAAGTCCAAAACAGTGCACAGTTACATTTTCACTTATAGGGGAAAAAAAAGACAGATCCACTGGGATTAAACTTTGATCCAAGTATTCGTAAATAATTGTCTGCTGTATGAAAGGGCTGAAGAGCTTGTAATTGGTAGAATATGCAACATCAACATATTTTAAAAAGAAATAACATGAGCTCTCAGTTATGTGGACAAAGACTGATTTGGATCTTTACAAAGTCTTTACCTGTCTGTAACTTCACAGTTGAATTATTATCTATTATTATTATAATTATGTGTGACTGAGGTGTCAAATTTAAAACTGCAAAGTGTATAAAAGTACTCACTCATTGATCCCCATTAAATCTGATGCAGCTAATCACACGTGCAGCCAGCTGGTCTTAGAAGTCACACAATCAGTTGAATGAAGTTCACCTGACTGAAGGTTCAATGAACACTGTAAAAAAGAATCAGTAAAAAAAAATACATTGAAAAGGTCTGATAAAAAATGTGACGTTAAAAAAACTATAAAAACTGAAAATAACAGCAAATATCTGTAAAAATAATGATGTTTTCAGCTGATTTAAAAACTGTGTCATTTTATAGTCAGACATAATAATAAAGACAAACATCTGTAACATATTATCTGTGATGTAAAAGAACAAATCACAGTTATAAAAATACATGTTTCATTTGTGTGGACATTATGAACAGTGTTGGCCTGTCTCTTTAATAGTCACTGTGTAAGTTAATGTCCTTTTTCTGTGATTTTACGAGATATTATCTGCAATTGGAAAATCAGGGAAAATCTTCAAAATACCAGTTCAAAAATGATTAGCTTTTAAAATAAATTTAAAGTTTTTTTTCTTTCAAATAACATCAAGTATCTGTATAATAACAATATTTTCTGCTGATTTAAATATAATAAAAATTGTATAATTGTATGGTCATGTATTGTAAAAGAACAAATTAATATTTAGAAAATAACACATTTTTTAAAGTGGACATTATTTGACATTTTTTTACAGTTAATTCGTAAATGTAATTTTTTTTCTATTATTTTAATAGTTATTATCTGTAATTTAATTTGAAAAGATGGGGGAAACCTCTAAAAGAACAGAAAATAGTTTTAAAAAATGAAGTTTAAAAGACCTAAAAATACATTTTACAGGCTCCGTCAGACCTCTTACTTTAGAGACTAACTCGGGCAGCACAGACGAGCTCTATCAGCACAACAACAAGCAGGCTGGTCCGAGTTATCATGGAGAGCCAGAGCTGAAGACCAAAGACCCACCTCGTCACACTTTACTACCCAACAGACCATCTCTTAACAAAAAGAAAGGACAGCACCTATTCAAAGCTCTAATAAATGCACCTTCTTCAGAGCCTGATCATGATCACACTGAATCTACGATCAAATATTTCATCACATTTATAGTTAAAAAGTTAGTTTCAGTGGTTTGTTTGTAGCATTTAACCTGAAAATGAGTTCAGAGCTGCATTACTACATGAAAACGTCAGAAAATATGAACTTTTCATGTCTAAAAATACAGTTTATTGCTGAACAAACTGCAAAAAACACCCAGAAAAAACATCACATCTATCTCCTCACAGCACTTTTCTCTTCACTGACTCCAGTGTGACAGTATCTTTGACTGAGGCGATGCCGGAGGCTGCACTCAGGATGGCAGTCTTTGTTGAGTTTGGCGCCCCGTAGTGTAAACAATGCGACAAAGTGCTGCACGACTAAATGATTTGTGTTTTGTTCTGCTGCACAGAGCTTCATTATGAGAACAGCTCTGCACTGTAAAGGCTGTGTGAACACAAACTGCAGCCCTGATCTAGTTTGTTTAGCAGTGATAAAAAGTGTTTTTGTTGTTTTCCCAGTGGTGAGGTGGAGATTTGGGGGGAAAAAAACATAAGTCTTGCAAACATAACTCTATGTTCAGACAATCAAAAAATAAATAAATCAAGTAAATCAGTATCTTGTTGTTGCTGAGATGCCATTATCATTGCACATAACTATATTCGACAGCTACGGTCGTTATGCGGGCTGATAAAACAAACAGAAAAACCTGTTTCAGCTGTGCTTGTAGATCATTGGCAGTCGCTGCTCAACATACCTCAAAGGGCTCACAATGGAAAGCTCCCAGAGGATGAAGCTTTGTTTGCACAATAACAGCACGCCCAAGCCGGAAATTTATGATGTGATGGTAAGAAAAATCATACACACAGTCTCGTTCATAATGAGAAAAAAAACACATGCAAAGTGACAACCACAGTACTTAAACAACCGTTACCTTTATTGAAAGTCTACAGTCTTGACATCAGAGTAAACAATCTGAGATGATTAGTGGAAAATGAGCTTTACATCTGATTGTGAGCTTGACAGACCAGTGAGTGATGGTCCTCAGAAGCACAACAGATGATTGCTCTGTTTTTCTTTTTTTTGTAGCAGCTTAATTTTTGGAAAAGCATACCATTTGTACATAAAATTGACAACAGATTCAAAGTGGGTACTTGGCAGAGCTCAGCTGCTGCATACGACGGCAGCATTACAACCGATCAATTGAATGTTTAAGACAATTCTAATCTGATATGCATAAAAAAGAAAACCATGTTAAGTTTAATTTTGCATTCATCAACCACAATTTATGACACTGCATCACTATTTAGTACCCGTAAACAGAGCGTTTCAATTGAATCAAATCTGAGTAAAATGCATTAGTAACAGATCATTCAGCACAGAGCTGACACTCTCGTTGTTCTCAGAAGTTATGTGAAACTACTTTCTTTCCTGCATTGACTAAAAATTGCATTTGAGATCAAGAAAAACAAACCAAAAAAAAAAGGCAATGAGGCCATAGAAAAATAAAAGTGGGCTCCCTCCAATATATCTGCGACATCTTCTCCCCGTCTCTGCTCCTATAAGCTGGGAAGTCCAGGAATGGATTCATCATGCCGTAACCTATAACATTTTAAGCTACAGCAATCATTAGCGTCCCGAAGAACCAGAATAGGAGCAGAAAGAGGAGCCAGAAGGCAGAGAAGTTTAGTGTTTGGCATCACAGAAAGCAGCTCGTGCTTCTCCGCTGGGTCTGTATGTTAGTGATGTTGTATCCCAGCAGGTCAGACCAGGGCGAACCTGAGGTGGCATCGGCAGTGTGAAGTCACGCTGGCCTGTCGTGACGCTGCAGATGTTGAAGCGGCACGGAGGGAGGTTTACATGATGACGCATGGCGCGCGGCTTTTGGTGATCTTCGCCACAGGTTTTCCATCGTAGGCGCTCTGGATTGCATCCAGGACCTTTAACAGGAAAAAGGAAAAATATCATAAATAACATGCAGTTTGGCTGTTGTGGTTTACATTGCAGGGCTCTTAGTGCAATCAAATAAGTGCGACTAAAGATTTTCTTTGGTCACACCAGTACACCTGACATCTAGCATATCCAGTCATCTTAGTTTTTATTATATTAGCAATATTCGCTGCAGTAACTGAGTGGAGACTTGAGCTGCGAGGCATTTATGAAAACCAATAAACTGCAGTGTCTAACGATGGTGTTTGGGGAACATCATTAATTCAGTAATTCATCAGTTTTTTTTAGCTTCTATGAACATCAGGGAGCACTAAACAACATTTCTTTTAGCTTTACTATCCTTAGATCGTATATTTATTCTACGCACATCTCCAGTTGTTTACACCATATGCTATGTGACCTTGGACATTCCTGCACACAGTAAATATTTCTATTGCCTTTTTAATTGATGTTATATTTATATGTTATATTATAATTTAACTGAATGATTATTACTGTTGTATATAATATATGTTATATCGATTTAAAAAAAAAAAAGTGAGCTTTTACAAGATTGAATTTCCCTTCTGGGATAAATAAAGTATTTTTCATTCATTCATTAAATTACTTTTATAATTCCTTGGATTTGCTACAATTGCAGTTTATCTGGTAACAGTTACTGCCTGAAGACATGAGAGACCTTCTTCTTAAAATCTTTTTATGCTAGTGTTTACTGTTACGCACCAAAACACCATATCAAATTCCTTGTTCTTGAAAACTTACTTAGCAATAAACCTGATTCTATCACTGCAGTGACGTATGTTTCCTTAATTTTGTGTTTTACAGCACATACTAGTAGTTTAGACATTTTTTGTACGTTTTAGATGCTATACATAACACAAGGCACTGAATATAATAGTATATTTATTACTTATTTACAATGCACAAAACCATTTTTCTAATCTACTTTATAAAAATGTTTTTTTTTTATTTACACGCAGTGACTTTTTTTTCATTTTTGATACGTGCTGTATCTTCATGATATGTGTGTCATTTCTTGTCATAATTCCTGTCTTGCATTGGTCTTACGTGGAATGCGGTTTTATTTCCCCTTTTCACTTGTGTGTAGAGCAAACTGACAGTAAAAAAAGATTTAACTTGAATGTCGATGAGCTGAAGTGTCTACAAAGATTCTGGCATGTGAGGCGTAAATCTGTAAGTTTTAGCTTCAGAAAACAACCTGCTGTACACTGTCCCCCACTAAGCTCCATGAATCTCTGCATACACATCGGTCACGCCCGCGACCCACCACCACCACTTAATCAGCCTGTAGGAAACACTGAGATATGATAAAGCGAACAACGTAATTCGTCACATGGGGCCTGTGGGAAAATCAAACTTCCTGGTTATTCGTTATGTCCTAAACCCTCCTTATGAAAAGCATTAATCTGTACTTTTATTCCTCTTTACAATCTCTTACACAATGAGTTGCGACGTGATCAAGCTGCATGGAAACTGACAATAAAGGTAACGCCTAAAACGTATTAGTCAGTCCCTAAAGGTGTGGTGGACACATTTTGGTGCACCACAAGTATGTGCTGATAAACTCAAGATAGACGCACCAGTGCAAACAGTTTATCCTGGTTAAGTTTAATCTCATTTTAAAGACAGTTTGTATGTATGTTACTACTTACATCATCTTCCTGTGGGAAGCCGCCTAACTCCAGCTTGGAGAAGATCAGCTGCCCATTGATCTGGATCTCAAAGCTGCCTGAAATACCCCACCCAGACAAACAATCAGCAAAACAAAGATCACCAGGAAATAAGAGGAGAGCTTTAATTAGCTTTGCTCAGGTAACTATGAAGTGATTAACTGTATTATATGTATGATCAAGGTCCAGCATGACTATCAGAGGACATAAATGTTGGGTTCAGAGCTCAAACATTACTCCTGTCAAATAATATTCCACTTATTTACCTGATCTTCCCACGAAGCCGACCACATCCGCATCAGGAAACTCTCCCTTCACAACCCGGTTGAGTTCCTGATAGCGGGGCTCGTATCCTCATGCGCCACTAGATGGAAAAAAAAACGTTGTTTCACATTAGCTCGCAAATAGGAAACTAAACACCACTAGCAAGGTTGCTAACAGTAACTTAGCTTAGAGCTAGTGATGCTAGCGGTAGTTAATGAACAGTGGAACGGTCCTTAAACAGAGATTTAAAGCAAGAAACCGGGTGCAAGTAAGCTAAAAATGTTACAGAAATCGAGAATGGGTATAAGAAAGATAAATACCAGTATTCGACTCGAATTGACACTCCCATCGTTGCTCCAGCGGTGTGTCTTACCAGAGCAGAGGTCTGTTTGCGTTGGTAGCTAACGGCAGCTTGTGTAACAGAGAGCCGGCAGGGGGCGGGACTTATCCACTGAGCCGCGAGGGGGCGGGGTTTGTCCAACTGCAGCTGTCAATCAATAAGAACTGTCATTTTTCTTTTTTCAATTACTTGCACTTACTCCGCATTTTATTTTAAATCTGTGTCAAACATGTAGGACGTGCTCAAAAATAAGAATAAAAAACGGCATGCAAAGGACACACACATGAGCAGCACACCAATGCATACACATTCACTGCTTTTGAAGTGAGTCACCTTATTCAACACAGGTGCAGCCAGTTGGTGCAAGAAGTGACACAATTAGTAAAATCTGAGAGCACTGAATGTGTTTAGTGATTGTAGTATAGACATCTGTATCTGAAGGTCCAGTCACTGGCTCATCAGTACTAGATATAGATATAACTACACCATGAAGACAAAAGAACACTTTAAGCAACTCTGTGAAGAGGTTCATAAAAGTCTGTAGATGGATATAAGAAGTCACTCGGAGTTCAGTCAAATCCATCATTAAAAAAATGGAAGAAAAACTGAGTGACTCCTAAGCAAGGCTACCAAGACACCTGTGACTCATCTGAAGGAGTTGTAAGCTTCAGCAGCTGAGACGGGACAGACTGTGAACACAACAAATGTTATCAAAGCTTTATGGGAGAATGGCAAAAAAAGCCACTGTTGAAAAAAGCTTGTCATTAAATGTACTCTAGAGTTTGCCTGAAGGAGTCTGACGTCAACTGGAAGAAGAGTTTTTGCATGATGAAAGCAAAATTGACTCATCAGACGAGACGCTATGTTTGATGGAAACCAACACTGCGCATCATCACAAACACATCTGTGAAGCATGGTGGTGGCAGCATCATGATGTGGGGATGCTTCTTTGCAGTAGACCCTGGAGAGATTGCAAAGATAGAGGGATATTTGTTTTCACTTTGACATAAAAAAAACTAAAACATTCTTTGTTCTTTGCCTTGTCATAAAACTCCTAATTAAACTGACCTCGTTTCAATGTTAAAAGGCAAAAAAACAGGAAAACTTTTAGGCAAAACAAGCAAAGGAAACAGTCAGAGTGAAATTTAATCCATTAATTAAAAACAGCAGGAGTTGAACCAAAGTGCCGTACAATTAACATCATGACATCAGGCCAAAAAAAAAAAACAGAATAAAAGACAATGACTAGCTGATAAATCAAAATAAAAGACAATTAAACAAAAAGAATAAAAAGTTACAACATAAAAAGACACAAAGTCAGTTTGTTGTCCCTGAATCAAATGACAATAGAAGACACGGGTCTTCAGCAGCGATTTAAGTCTCTTAAGTTTCTTAAGTCTAAGCAGTGACGTAAAAAGGTAAACAGTAACGGAGATTAGGAGCAGCCACTGCTAAGCCTTAATCACTCAATAGGATTGATAACATCTCATAAAATCATAAATATACAAGAGCTTTCCAAGAGTAAAACTGATTTTCTCTCTTCACTTCTTTGTTTTGTTTTTGAACATGAGACCATGTGAATTGTCTTTGGCTTTTTAACATTTAATGAAAGACACTGACATGTGTAGAACTATGAAATTAACCTTGTACACACACACACGTACTCATATACATATATATTCATATGTGTGTTTTTGTATGTGTAGATGGATAAATAAATGAAATATATATTAGAATGAAAGTTGTATTTTGACAGATTACTAGAGCTTATAGATAACACACTGGAAAAGATGCATTTATTCAACATGTTTGCTCTGAAATCTTCTATAATTTATTAATAATTGGATAACATTATAGACCAATACTTATTTTTCTGTTTATGTCCACTTATGGTATCTAATTTTATATTTACAGTATTCTAATAGTTTTATATATTAAATAAAAAGAAAATATTTGTGGATTTACAAAAGTATGTAATTGTCTTTAAATGTCTAAGACGCTGACAGTTTTTTGAACAAAAAAATGATGAAGAAAGGAATGTCATAGTTATTCACACTTACAGGTTTTGAATGTTATTTTAAGTGGGTTAAGTGGTATATAGATAATGGATGGATGTATTTTTATTTTTAAAACCAGAGTCCTATGATAGTAACGATGACTGTAAAGCTGCTTGTTATCTCCTCATGCACTTAGAAGTGTCTCTGTGTTACATAATGACGTCTCCTGTCTGCCTGTGTTTAGTAAATGATAAATACTTTTCCTGCAGAGGTGTGGTTCTTTGTGTCCACTGCATGTCAGTCCGATTACTCATTACAGATGACCTTCAGACTCATAAAACACAAACTTCTGCTATCATTCCTTCAGCAACAAGCGTCGGTCACATTTTTCATGTGGAACGCTGAAAGAGAAACGTGACATGTAAGAAAAAAAAGTGTTCGTTTTAAATTCTACCGGCTTGTAGACGGTGAAGAGTTGGAGATGGAAACCAGCGAGCTCTCGGCATGTAAGTTTTAACATCTTATGAATTCTGTGAACCACATAACATTGGTGACTATGTCTGTTTTATTGTGTATATGTTGGTGCAAAAATTCAAACAATCTCTTACTTTTCAAAAGTTGCATAGTAGTTATCAGTGTTATATTTTGAATGTCCTCTTTGTATTTTATTCACAATGAAGCATATTCGAGTGGATTTACTTCCAGTTTTTGCATCTGAATTTTTCTGTGCGTTGTAGTTTCACTTACTGTTAGCCAACACCTTATTTTCTTTATCTGCTCAGTTTATAATGTTTAGCAAATAATGATATATATATGTGTCATTTGTTTTGTAGTTTTGTGACATTTTATGTCAATTTTCAAGTCTTTTCTGGAGCTGCAACTAACAGCTACTCTCACAAGTGTTTCCTCTCATGATTTCATTTGTTTTCCAGGTAAATGGTCGACCTTTTGTTTGTAAAAGGTCATTTAAGCATAGCGAGTAATGCACATTATAATCAGTGATGGATGCAAGTTATTCACTCAAGTGCTGTACTTGAAATGTACTCGAGTACTTCCATTTTATGCAGGTTACTTCTTTTACTCCAGTGCAAGTCACGAGGATATTACTCCTCCCTTCATATGATGACTTAAATTATATAATACAAATACACATACAGACAAAATACAATGAACAAATAAATTAGAATGCATCAGGTTATAATAGCGAGCAGTGTACAAAGAAGCTAAACCAACCCCATGTTTGTCAGTATTACTACTGTTGGTATTTATTTGTTTGAATATTAATACTTTTGTGCTTTTACTGAATGCAGGACTTCTAACAGTACTTTTACAGTTTAGCATTGTTTTTGTAAAAAATCTTATTTTACATTTAAAAAAATAATAATTTTAATTTTTTAATTTTTAAAATAAGACAAAGAAAACCAAATTATTTTTTTTTGTAAAAAGTATAATTTTGCAGATTTAAATGCAGTAGAAGTAGTGTAACTTTATGGTCAAAAGCTGCAAATGAACAAAAAAAAAAACTCCAGATGTTTTTGATGTTGACATTATTTACAGTTTGGATCTTTTATTTATTTATTTATTTATTTATTTTACTCCTGTACTTTTATCAAGCAAAATTTTGAACACAGGACTTTCTGTTGTCAAAGTATATTTGTGTGGTCGTGTGGTATTCCTACTTTCATTGATTTTTTAAAAATCCATTACTGATTGTAATGATCATCTGATATGTGCAACCACCCCAGCAAATACTCTCCTTTAAGAAGCCAAATCAGTGAGAGTTTGGCTTTTTCCATCTCAGAAATGATTAAATAATATATTATCACCACTATTTCTGCTTCATTGTCAACAAATAATTTCAGACCTATAGGCTCACAGTGTAAATTCTGTTGGTGTTTTCATTCAGTGTATGAAAATGTATCATCTGGTTTGAACAAACAGCTGGATTTTAACTAAAGTAGCTTTAACTACAATTAACCCTTGTGTTTTATTTTCTCTTAGTGGATGGCTGGTGTTCGTCACAGTTAAAGATTGTACTTCTTGGGGGCAGAAACTCTGGGAAGAACTCTGTGGGGAACTTAATCCTGGGCAAAGAGGAGTTTGTCACCAGAGAGAGGACCTCATGCTCCCGGAGGCTGGGTGTGGTGGCCGGACGGTGGCTCACGGTGGTCGACACTCCAGGCTGGTGGTGCGACTTCAGCGCTCAGGACACATCCGAGCTGGTGAAGAGGGAGATCATCAGCAGCGTGTCCCTGTGCTCACCAGGCCCACACGTCTTCCTGATCACGGTCAAAGCCAGCTCGGCCTTCTCGGAGACGCGTCGCAGGGCCGTGGAGGAGCACGTGGCCCTGCTGGGCGAGAGGGTGTGGCGTCACTGCATGGTGGTGTTCACCTATGGAGACAGGTTCGAACACTCTGAAGCAGAAGAGTTTGTGGAAAGGGGAGGAAAGGCCCTCCGCTGGCTGAGTGACAAGTGCGGTCAGAGGTGTCACCGTGTTATCTTGAGCGGCGGCGCTGAAGCCACGGAGCTGCTGGTGAAGATACAGAATCTTGTCACGGAAAATGGAAGCAGAGTGTTTGAAATGCAGGAAAACATCTTACAGGCGACTGCAGAGGAGAAGAGGCGGGTGGAAGAGAGGGCTCAGCTCAGGTTTATCAGGATGAAACAGCAGAGATCTCTGATGCGAGGTGAGGTCATGGTAATCTGATCAATTTGCCTTTTCTTTTTTGGCCTTTTTGCCTTTATTAGATAGGACAGCCAAAGGAGAGACAGGGAAGTGGGGGAGGAGAATGGGGGAATGGTTGCAGCAAAGGGCCATGAGTGGGATTCGAACCCATGGCCGCTGCATTGGAGACTATAGCCTCTATACATGGGTCGCCAGCTCAACCAGGTGAGCTATGGTGGCGGCCCAGAGTAATTTGCCTTTTCAAGAGAAAACCTTAAGTATTCTGTGTTGCAATAGGCTCTTCACAGGCAACAGAAGACTTTAGATGTTCATGTAAAGTTTGAGTCACTCTAACTAGAATTTCTGTTGCTTTTAATGCAAACTCCAGTTGTTGATTTTTATTCCAAATATGCTGCTGCAGCCATAAAAGGCACGTAAACAAGACACTTCCTGCCGACCTAAATGTGTCTATGTACAGCATTGCCACAAAGCAACGATTTTGCTGCTGTGCAAACCACAGCATCATTTTGCACTTAGACGTCTGCCCGCCTGGCCAGTAGAAATTAGGTATCTACATTGTGGAGATGTTTGCAAAACACTGGGAGCTTTCCACTTGAAAAGATATGGCGACTTAGATCTGAGGACATCAGCAGGGTAGAAAAATGGCGCCTGGTGGTCCTCTGAGTTTAACCAATCCGCATCAAGACCAATACTGCAGATTTTTAGGGCTGCTCAGCTGTACCTACCCTGGAATAGGAATTTTATTCTCTGCCGAAATCAGGCCTGAAAGAGGATTCAAGATTCAAGATAAGCTTTATTTGTCACATACACATTTGTACACGGTACAATGTGCAGTGAAATGTGTTTTGTACCAGCATCCAGTTTCAATAAAAAGAAAAATATAGAAAAAAAAGTAAAATAAAAATAAGTGTTCAAGAAACATATATACTTTATGTATATATACATATACATACACATAAAAAAAATCACATAAATAGAGCAAACGGAACATGGATCTATGGGGGCCTTTGCTGCGGTCAGAACACAACAAATGTTTGGGCTGCACTAAGTGGAAAATGGCCTATTGATACGTGCATTAACTCACAGTTCATTCACACAGTCAAAGTTGTTTTGCCAGCCTTTCTTCCTTACTGCAACAGCTGTGTAGCTTTTAGCCTGGATTATTCTGACATTCCTAATATTGATTTAAGATAATAGCAGTGGTTAGAAACATGCAGCTCTAGACTTGGCCATGTTTGCGATTAGTCATCTGGGGCCAACACCGACCCTTTGATGTGAATGTGGTCAGAGCTAAAATTAGAAATCCTGGGTCGACTTGAGAAATGAGGAACAGTTCACTGGTAAAGCCACAAAGCAATAGTTAAAGTTTTTCCAACATTATAGTGGATGGACAAATATAATATTGGAAGCAATCTTTTCATTTAACTCTGGGCAAGAAAGCAAATGCAGACATTTGTAGAATAAAACAAACGGAATGCTTGGCCCTTCACAGTGGGAGGTCTGGGGCAATTTTCTGGCACGGTTTGGTCCAGTTGTACCTTTTGAGGCAAAGGTCACCACAAATCAACACAAAGTGGTCATCTGTAACCTATGTTGTGGTCTCTTCCAGGATTACAGTGCTTTGATCCACAGGGCCCTGAATGATTTGATGAAAATGATGTGAATCATATGTTACACTCTGATCGTTAAAAGACCAACAATCTTACAGAAGAATGGTTTTCTATCTCTCCAGTAGAGTTCCAAAGACTTGGAGAATCAATGCCAAGGTGCATTAAAGCTGTTCTGGTGGCACAGCGTGGTCTAGCATCGTACCCACAAGTTTTATTTTGTTTTTTCCTTCAATTTATCACCTGTCTGTATGTTCCAAAATGGTATACTATTTCTGTAATCTCGACTTCTAGCTCTATCTTGGCTGGAAATCACCTGAAAATCCTTCCCTCTACTCTCTCTACATTCTCTCTTTCTTTCTTTCAGAGAGGATAAGGCCAGTTACTGACATCCGGATCGTGCTGCTTGGAGCAAAGGGTTCTGGGAAAACTTCCGCACTGAACACTATCTTGGGCAGAGAAAGCAGCCAGCAAAGCAACAGAACAGCTCAGTGTGTGGTTGGAAAAGGAGTGGTGTTCGGGAGGCAGGTGACTGTGGTGGACACTCCAGGCTGGTGGATGAACTACTTCTGCAACGAGACTCCCGTGTTCGATCAAAGGGAGATGGTGTGGGGTTTGTCTCTCTGCCCTCCGGGGCCTCACATCTTCTTGCTGGTGATCCGAGTGGACCGAGCCTTCACGGAAACCTACAGGAGGGCGGTGCGGGAGCACCTCGAGCTGATCAGTGAGCGCATCTGGAATCGTGTCCTCCTGCTGTTCAGTTTCGGGGACTGGCTGGGAGGCACGACCATAGAACAGCACATAGAAAGCGAAGGAGAACCTCTGCGCTGGTTGGTCGAGAGATGCGGCAACAGGTATCACATCCTGAACAGTAAAACCAAAGAAGGTGGGTTTCAGGTCCGAGAGCTGATCGGAAAGATTGAGGAGACAATGATGACTGGCTCCAGCAGTGGATGGCATTATGAAATAGAGAAGAGAGTGCTGGAACAGCTGGAGGGGTGGATGAAACAAGAGAAAGAGAGAGCCAAAGAAAGGCTGATGAGGAAGGAGCAGCAAAGGCAGATGGCGAAGTCTCAGCTGGGTGAGCTGGATACATTTAATTATTACTTTACTTGTTCGGTTCAGAGTTTTTCTTTTAACAAATATGACTTTTTTTTCCTCACAGAGAAGCTCAACTCTCTACCAGAGATGAGAATAGTGCTCATTGGTGGCTGGAAAACAGGCAAAAGCTCCTGTGGAAACACCATCCTCAACAGAAAGAGCTTCGACACCAACATCCAAACCACCTCCTGCAATGAAAAACGAGGCGAAATCGGTGGCAAGGTGGTGTCGGTGCTGGACACACCAGGCCGCCTCTCTGTGACCTCTGACCTCCTGACGACATCCTGCGCGATCCTTCTGGTGGTCAACATTAGCGCCTCATTCAAAGACACCCACAGGGAAGCTCTGGAGGAGCAGCTGGAGGCCGGAGGAGGCCGGCTGTGGAGGAAAACCGCGGTCCTGTTCAGCCACGGAGACTGGCTGGGCGACACCAGCATCGAGCGGCGCATCGAGAGCGAAGGGGCGCCGCTGCAGAGACTTGTGGAGATGTGTGGGAACAGATATCATGTTTTGGACAACAAGCACTGGGGGGATGGAGCTCAGGTGAAGGAGCTGATGGAGCTGACGGAGGAGATGCTGGTGGGAGAAAGGCTGGATGTTCTCCAAGGAGGTGACCACATGTGGAAAAGTGTTTCCTCAGCACGAGATGCACTGACTCTGTGTAAGAAGGACATCAAGGAGCTCATCAGGAGAAGACATCAGCTGTCTCATGACTGTGAGTAAACCTTATTGACTTGCATGTTCAGCTATTGTATTCCTAATTGAATTCTGTTAGTCAGGACTTTTCATAACACAAAAGTACAAAATCATAAGGAATCCTTAGATTTGTTGGGTTTTCATGTATGTTTTGTAGGATGAAAACACTAAATTAGTCAGGTTAATCTCCATAATTAACGGTAGTGTGGGGTCTTGGCCATTATATTTACATTAGGTTAAGTTCTGCAACTACAATAGTCACTAGTGTGGGGTTTCAGCCTTCATATATTGGAGTTGGGTTAAGTAGTATCTCACTCTCGAGTCTGAGTGAAACTTTGTGCCAAATTTGAAGAAATTCCTTCAAAATCTTCAAGAAAGAACAGGATGTAATTATTTATAAATTTGTCAACAGATGAACTGATATATCTGCAATTTGCTAAAATCTGCTTATTATATTTACTTATTCGTGCTATATCTAGTTTATTAGACAAGGACAGTGTATTAATAAAACACAATGGGTGTGTAAATATAGTCTATGGGCAGAGATTAGATAGTGACACAGTCATAAAGAAAGAAAAACAAAGTCAGCTCTTGCATAATAGACTCCATGCAAATTTACATCATGCCATGCACCAATTTAAACAGAGAAATATAGAATCCACAGAGTAAACAACACAGAGATTGGATCTGAAAAACAGCCCTATCAGGTGTAACATGGGGAGAGATGAAATGAAATGTAGTTAATGGGGTAAAGGAGGAGGTAGCAGCCGCCGTAAAAGAGAGATAAGCAGATTTATATCTGAGGATAGGTGGAAACGGTTGTTAAAAGATGGGCTGGACTTTTTTTTTTTTTTAGCTCACATGAAATCACATCAAGTGCTATCATTTCCTTTCACAGTGCCTGAATCAGCCGCTTCCACCCCAAACTGCTCAGATGCTGCTCAGATTGTGGCTTTACCAGCACACAGAGCCAGACGAAGGACTGGATTCACCATCGTGGACGTGTCCTACATCGCCTCGGTGCTCTCTGGTGCACAGGGGCTGAGGTGGCCGGCTATCAATCTGCCTGTCCGGTTTTCTGCTCCTTACAGCCACTTGAGACTGAACAGTGAAAGCCTCATGCATCCCACACAACAAACAATGCTTCTGGTTTCCTCTCAAGCACAGCCCAAGATTCTTGCAGAGGAAGACATCATCAGTGTGCACTCCCTCAGCCATCCTGCACTGAGAGAACGAACTCTCAGGAGGCTCTCAGAGTCCAGAGGGCTGCAGGCGCTCATCGATCAGTGGGGCAACAGCAGCCTGGAGGAGCTGGAGGCCTTCATCGACTCCTACTTTGAGATGGTGTGGGAGGAGACCATGGAGTCATGTCAGCCTGCCGAACCCGACTGTGTGACTGCAGGGCCGAACGCTGCTGTTGGGGAGGCTGCAGAGGAGGAGGAGAAGGAGGAGAAGGAGGTGCTTTCATCCATTGACAGGAAACTTTCAAAGCTGGAGCTCCTCGAGGAGATCCGGAGTGATCTGACGGAGCTGAAGCAGAGTCTGGAAAGCAGCTGGAGAGCCATACAGGAGCTCGGAGACAAAAGCAAACAGGACCAAGACAATACATGTTGATAGAGGGAAGTCAATGAACAACAATCGAGGAAGAAAGATATAATTAAGTGTTTTTTACAGCCACAAAAATAATAAATGTGTGAAAAGAGGCAAAAAAAAGGGGGCAACAGTTATGTTAGTTCTCCACAAGAGGGAGCTGTTGTATAAGAGTAGGTTTTGTATATTATGTTTCTGCTGATCCTTCCAACTCCCATTTCTTCTGAAAATACAAGAAATCTTGAAATAGATGAAGAATAGTGCATGGTTTTGCAATTAAGGCTACCTTTTCTACTTTATATGGACATTTCACATGTTAAATATGAAAATGTTTGAGTTTTCACTTGAAGTTCTTTCGTTCATGCTGTACTGACCTAATTCTCACACAAGATTTGAAGCTCTCCAAAGTGCTTTGGACAAATGCAGCCATTTGGCATTAATATTTTGGTGCTTTCATTCACATGCGTGGGGCAACAAAAGTATTAGAAACACACTTGAACATAATTGGATCCAACAGAACAAAGCTGTAAACGACAGTCTTGGCTTAGACACAGTTTCAACAACAATTAAAACTCAGATGATATAATGAAGAGACCAAACGTGTGTGAAGACTGTAACATCACACCCAGATGTGATTGTTAAACATCCCATCCCAAAATTATTGGCATAAATCTGCTGGAAACAGCCTCCCCTCTCACTGAAGTTTTGCTGCAAGATTCTGAAACTTGGCTGCAGTTTTTGCCCTTTTTTCCCACAAGGGGAATTCTTGTTGTAAGGTCTGGCCTGCAGTTGGCATTCCAGTTCATCCCAAATGTGCTATGTGGAGCTGAGCCCTGTGTGGGCCAGTGAATTTTATTTAAATAGGTCAAAATCACAAATCACGTATGTGTGATTCGTGCAGGTTTTGACATCTTCCTCTGTAGATCTGATTTGGATTATATTAAAGACAATATAGAGAAACAAAAACACACCTTTAAGTAGATAGATATGTAGAAACATACAGGATTTTTATGGATAATGGAGGATGCCATGTCAACACACCTCAGCAAATTCACCGCACCCTAGATATGTTTCTGTTATCTGGCTACACAAAGCCTGAAAACTGCAGTTCAGGGTTTCAAATTCTAGCTATGGCCATATCAACTAAAAAGGGGAGGGACTGGTATAAGCTGATAAGGGTACAAAACCGCCAAAAAAAACACTGATACATGCTGGGTAATAATGCAGTCTACCACAGACTAACGACAAGACAGGGAGTCCCACTCTGTTTACGTCAGGTTTAAAGTATCCAGGTTTGCTTCAAGTCTGGTTTAAAGTTTTCAGGTTTGATTTAGATCTGGTTCATTGTGTCATGGTCTGGTTTAAAAAGTCCATGTGTGGTTCAAGTCTGGTTTAAGTCTGGTTTGGTGTCAACTAGTTTGAGAAATTGAAAAACTACAATACAGAGCAAAGAGAGCATAGTCGCTGCAGCCAAAGCAGGAAAAAAGTTGGCAAACAAACTGTGTGATAGTGAAAGTTAAACAAGCTTTCAATATCAGTTCCCGATGAGCTGATCTGACTTCAATTGTGCATTCCATTAAATTATTATGTTTCTTGGATGTATTATTCTACTGACAGTTTTGGCTTTATTCTTTCAGCTGCCTGGACTTGGGAACAAGTAAAGAACAAATATGAAAACATAATTCTAACCGGAAAGCAAGCTCACTGCCAAGGCCAACAAGTACAAGGCTTTCGTGATGTATTCAGTCTCTGTTTAAAGGCCTGTAGTAAAAAAATAGTGCCTTGAAATTTCTGTCAACACTACACAAAACAATAAAGCAAACCAGAGTTCCCACCACTAATAACCCATATCTATGCTTGTCAGGGAAAGAAAAAGGTTTAAATCTCATCTTATTGAGCGAATCTTTCACTGTCTGACACAAAACCCCTCCGGAATTTCCAGTCATGGAAATATATGGTGATACAATTTTTCTAAGAGATCTGATTGGTTAGAAGGTGATGTTTTTACACGCACTGGTGTGTTTTCTTTAACTTAGCCTGTTCTGGAGCAGGTCAGGTGTGAAGCATAAATGTGATTTATCCCTGCTAAGAAGTAAATCACCGTCATAGCCCTAAAAAACCAAGAGTTAAACCAGAAGTTACTTTGGTAACCTGAATCCTGCTTCGTAGCACAGACCTCTGTAATAAGGTCACATTAAACAAGAAGCAAAATGACTGAAGGGTTGGAGGTAATGAGTTAAAAGATCACAAATCAAGATATAGTTCCTTCAGGAGAGGTTTAACAAGAGACTAATTAAAACTAGTGTAAACAGCATCTAAATTAACAGATTTAACAAGTTTGATCAAAGTCAAAGATTGGTTGGCATTACAGTTTTAAACCCTGTTGACCAGGACGTGATCACTGATCAAACAATAGTTTAAAATACTTCCTCATAAAACTGTCCTGCTGATTGCAAAGGTAAAATTCAGCAGACAGTTTAAGCTATAAACAAGAAGCTGTACAACAACTCCACAACAAAGTAATTAAGCTAAAGGTACTAAGTCCCACTTAGTCGCAAAGAGCATTGAGGTGTAAAAATGAGTAGAGATCAAGACAAGCAAGAAAACAATGAAACAAAGACTTGAATGAAAACTTAAATGAAGCAAATGAGGTCATCAGTTAATGTGGTCCCTAAATTTACCAGACAAACACGTCACAAAACCAAATATTTAGCTAAACTAATAAATAAAAAAGATTATTATCTGACTGTTGAAAGGCACCAACGAGCAACGAATAAAGACACTCGGGCTGCCCAGAAACTTTTGGCCTTACAGTCAGAACAGAGCCTTAAGAGGAAAAAGAAATGTAAACACTGGGTCTAATTAAATTTAACGGCCTCTTCCAGAAGCTCTAAAGCCTTGAAAGATTGAAATTAACTGTGCTCATTTGTTTGAGAGTCCACGTGTCGGTTTCTTCCAGTTTAAGCTCTTCGCCATCCAAGAATCTGACAGTGGTTAAAAACAGAAAGGTTATCCAGCCTACTGTTTTCTTTGTAGACAAAACAGACGATCTGCACAGCTTTCATTCAGTCTTTATCAGTTTCTTTCAAGTGAGTCACACATCAACAACCAAACAACTGCAGAGATTAGTAAAGCGAACAGTGAGAGTCCACCACTTTCAAAGCTGATTTTTTGGATTTTCTTAAAACATGGATTCTCCTAAATGTAAATGTATGGCGACACCAGGAGATAAAGTTGTTTGATGTTGCTTATTTCTTTTCCAAATGCAAATACGAAGCAGTTAAACGTCAGAAATCTGAAGACATCAAAATGTGTGATGTGTTTATGCATCCCCAGGAACATCACTGTGTTTCTCTTTCATTAAAGCTGCATTCAGCGTCTTTGCGAGTCGGTGGCTCCGCATGGCGGCGAGCGATAAGAACTTGAAAAATTGAAATCTCTAAAACCAGATATCGTGTAAAGGTGACATTAGTAAACCGAATGCAATCTGTCTGATGCTTTTTACTTTTGACTCACTACAGTTTTAGCTGTTTGGATCTTGCTGTTTGAGGTTTGTTTAGCTGCTCCCTGTGGGCAGAAAGATTGGATTTGATAGTCACAGTTACAACAATCACATTATGACATTGTGAGGGAAAGTTTGACTTCGTAAGTCAAAAACAAAAGGAATAGGAATACTTTTTAGGAGTCTACAGCTGCGGCAAGTAACTCCTAAAGGAATTTTAAGAGAACCTTTGAATTGGAAATCAGACCGGGCTACACTACGTCCAACTACATTACTCATGCTGTAACAAAAGGAACAGAAGGAGCCAGAAACAAAACCGCTTCTTTGATGCCAGCTAAAAAACATGAAGAAAAAAAACCTAAAACGTTGGACATCTATGACAAAAACTTCATAGAAGCCTTCTGGAATTTTCTTTTTTTGTGTGAAATAGGATCTCTGGAAGTTTGTTGTCCATTAACTTTCTCTGATGCTGTACTTACAAATGTCTGTAAAAATACATTATGGACCCAACACAATCACAACGGGGATGCTTAATACCACCTTAAATTAGCATTTCAGCATGCCAGCATTAGCATTAAACAGTAAGTACAGCTCAGGGTGAAGGGAAGTTCTTTCGATTTGCTTGTATTTGACCCTGAGCTGTAGTATTAAGCAAATCAACATTGTGACCTGCATGAAACATCGCAGGGATCGAACTGATTCCAATTCATCCTTGTGGGGATGTGGTTGTGAGAGCTAATTTTCATGGCAATATGGTGTCCAGTAACTGTTGAGATATTTCACTCAAAAACCACAAATGTGAATCGGAGAAGTTAGAGGATCAACAAAGTCATTAGAATCTGAACAAAATATCTTCACAGTCCATCTCATTGTTGTTGCAATATTTCAGTCAGGATCAAAGCGGTGAACCTCTCGACTGACTGACTGACTGACATCACCATGACTAAATCCATGTGACTGATGTGGGTAAAAAATGTTGACTGTAGTTAAACTAAAAATCACACTAAACCAAAGAGACACTAAGTGACAATCAGGAAATCAATGTTTTGCTTTTCATGTCAAGTTAAAGTTTTGGGCTTCTTCACAAAGGGAACTGTACCTGGCTCCATATCAGATTTCACCGAAAGCTTCCATGTGCAACATTCAAAGAAGCCTTGTTATTAATGACACCGGTGAGTACTTTTGATAGGTACTGTACAACTGGGAGGAGACCCCAGGAAGGACCCAGAACATGCTAGAGGGATTACACATTTGATCTGGTCTGGGAACTCAAAAGGATCTCCCAGGAGAAGCTGGAAAATGCTGCTGTGGAAAGCTATGTCTGGAAAACCCTGCTTGGCCTGCTGCCACCGCGATCAGACTCTGGATAAGGAGGAAATGGATGAATGGATGGTATCTGACACTGTGAAGCCAGGTTCAGACTACTGAAGCTGATGAGAATGCTTTTGTCTGATCAGATGGTCAGCGTATCTAAATCAATGACTTGGCTGAATGACAAGACGACAAATTGGTTCCCATCCAA